GTTTGTTTGTTTTTTCAATTATCTTATTCAGTCATTTCAAGTAACAGTTTCCCTAAGAAAAGGTTGTGTCACTATCGTTAAGTCAATTTGGTTAAATAATCGAGAGACTAATTAAACGTGAAGGCAGCAAAGTTTGAGTAAAAAGATGTTAAAATGCTTACTGAGTTGAGTTGGGAAGCCGTAACCAGCAATATTCAAATGAAATGAATAATCGTCACACAATGCAAATCAACTGAAGAGCGGAAATATCAATCGATCAAACGTTGTCAGGGTTTGTCTCAAGATAATTGTGCTGAGTCAAACAGCTCGTTATATTCAGTCTCGTTAGGGAATTAAAAAGTGACATTTTTTGTCTCTTCACAAAGGGACACATTTATTTTGGAAGCTAACTTTTAACCCGGTTTGCATTTTTTTTTATAGAATATATGAATATATACAACATTGTTATGATCCTTGTTGATTCACTTACCCTTTTACCAAATACGTACACACACACACACACTTAAAGCACCTATCTGGACTATTCTGTAATTCCCTTATACAATTCGATCATTGACGAATCGTCTTAGATGTGATTATAGTTATCCATGTACCGTTAAATAACCACGTATCATATAAAATGCCACATTTTGGCTCAGATGCTATGTTCTTTCATATCTAATTGATAAAAAAAACTTGCCACAAGGCCTCGTACTAACGAATATATATGCTTTTTCTCTCCGAGAAATTTCTGAGATGCGGAGAGATCGTTATTTACATTATTTACACGCACGCTTTTGTCCTCATCTTTGTTGTAAACGCCACGGAAAAATAGCCTAGTTGCTTCGTGAATTTGGTGTCATAGTAAGCCGGTTAGTGCAGACTTACATTCATTAGAAATAGGGTGAGCAATAACTGAGCAGTAATTATATAAGAACATGACGAGGTATCCGTAGCTATGGACAGCGGAATGAGAACAATCTACTTTCGTAAATTAAATAAAGAGTTCAGAGTTCTTCAACAAAAAATATCGTATAATATTAGTCATGATAGAATATCTCTAAAAACGAAACATAAAATATGTCCGAAATACAAATTAAATGGAAAAAGAATCCAATATTTGCCTGTTCTGTAATCACCCATTTTAGATTTGTGACATCACCCGAAATATGCTTGTTTTCTTACTTTCTTTCTTCCTGTTTTTCCTTTCATTTTCACTCTTTTCCTTTCTTTTCTTTTCCTTATATTTTCTTTTCTCTCATTTTTCCGGTCCCTAGCTGCAGTGAATCGTGTGAAGTGTATCATATCGAAACGGAAATTGTCGAATTCAGTCTGCAAAATCGTGTTCAAGCGAATTTGTCTATGAATTCGAATTGAATTCTTGTCCATGGAATGTAGTAAATTGGACGATTTTAACTTCTACTCGATTCGTCGGAACCCATTACTCATTGAGCGATATTAAATCGACAGGGCAAAGAATATCCATTGTAAGAACCTTCGAATAAATCTGAAATTATTGAAAAATCATAATCTGCCCAAACTATCCTAGCAGCAACATTGTTATTATTTTAAGATACTGAAAGAAAAGTCACCAGTTAGGAAATTGGTCAAGCAGTTCTGTACAAGAGAAGCAGATCCAAGCAGTCATTTTAAATATAGTAATTAAAATTTCCTTTCATGAATTTATTAAAAATAGCGTATTATTTGGCGATAGAATGATCGATTTTGAATTAAGTTCTAATACAAATTACTTTAAGAAGGAAACAATGGTTTTGTGCACTCTCGAGTCATTGGAGAAGTGATAGAGATAACAAATAATTCCTATGTTCATACTGGCTATTTTTGTCAGAGCATTTTTCGTACTTAATAATTTGAAGGCATAAATGTCAGTGACAATTGTCTGTGCCTCTATATATCGGGAGAAACCGAACACGCATGCGTGGATGTAATCAGAGTAAATGTTACTCAAAGTCTATGTTTTGTCAAGACAAATAGCGAAACAACACAACAAACTTAGGCTTACATGTAAGATGCGACAGTCAAAAACTACCAAAGAAAACGAGGCATACACAGAGATACAACTTTATCAACACGAACTATAGGAACATGACAACGGATTATCAAAGTCAAGAGTACCCAGAAGACAGAGAATTTATGGTTAAAAGTTCACCGGAAACTGTAAAAAAAAAAAAAAAAAAAACAGTCGGAACCACGGAAAAAATTACTAAGAAAAGTTTAATTGAATAATTTCCCTCGTTATTCAATCACAATAACCCCCACACACACACACATACATATATATATATATATATATATATATATATATATATATATATATATATATATATATATATATATATATATATATTTGGCCTGAAGATTGCGTTTAAGCATGAAACAGACTGTCGCTGCTGTGTATTGACTTCGGGAGTAACAGCAAAATTGGCTACGTGTGATACCATGGGATAATTATCCATCCCACAAAAAGTTTAATATCTCAAAAAGAACTAAACTAACTGAGTTTCTTTTTTCCAGGTTTTCAGATAAGACGGTTAGCCATCTTGACTCAATTCGTTGTTAGAATCACTGAAAAAAATTTCAGCTAGAAAGAGAACAGGCTAAAATCGTTTTGTGCCAGTCTCACTATATCTTCCCAACTGAGCAATGGTGAGAGCAAAAAGATCATTTAGGCCTTTAGTAATGGTACCAACATTCATACTTTGGCTTTCATCTTCAAAGTCCATTCAAGAACCATCAAGAGAACGCTTAATAAGTTTATAAAAGAGGGAACCGTAGACAGGAAAACTGGATTACACAACAACAACAAGGATCATTTTATCGTAGAGCTAAATACATACTTATTGTTCAAAGTAGAGTCCAATAGTATTATAAAAACCTCAGAGAAATATATTTAATCATTTCTGAGATTCAACAACGGTTCAAAGTTTAATCTAACAATCGGACAATTTAGCTGTTATACATATATATATATATATATATATATATATATATATACGGATCGTCAGGGTCAACTGGCTTTGCTTTACTCGTTTTGGAGGTTTTTTTCTTTGGACTCTGAGCTTGGATTCTGGACGATTGTTTTCGTCTCAATTTCATGGTCTTAGTTCTTTCTTTTTTATCCCTTATTTTCCCTTGGGCATTGGTTTGTTGAATTACAAGCCAAAATACCTAAGGTTTTTCCAAACGAGTATATCTATTTATATTATATATATATATATATATATATATATATATATATATATATATATATACACACACACAGAAATTTCTATTCGAACACCTGTATCCATTAAATATAACGTTCATAATAATAATATATATATATATATATATATATATATATATATATATATATATATATATATATATACATGGGTGGTGTGGACGGATGAATTATTTTCTCGAACCACTTCAATTCTTAGTTCTTCCGCTAAACAGAGAATGTAATGGGGGCCTTGCCCTGTCAGGCTGCCCTCTGAACTGTTGACAGGTTTGTTGAATTCAGAGTTATCCTTCCCCTAGACTGATTGACCTCATACTTAGGATAATGATCCCAGATTTAAAACCTACTTAATGATGCTAGAAATATCTCAAAGAAGCTTCTTCAAAATCCATATCTTAAACATTTATTCTATAAATAAAATTCACGGTGACTATGCGCATAATCTTTTTAAACTCGGGATTGTCTTCCTTTTCACTGCTCACATATTCGCCATCTTGACCATGTGTCTGTTCCTTTTTGCCCAAGTGACTCCAATTAGTCCATTCAATACGTGTCTAGTGCCCATTAATAACCAACTGCCACATTTTCAGGAATGGATTTTCTTTCAGGTAAAAAGGAGCCTTTACTCGTCGGTAAATATGACAATGCAGATAAAGAAGGTAAGAGTAAGCTAGATAGAGAAGATAAGCAAAAAAGAAAAAGTATAAAAAGAAAGAATAGATGAATGGCACTGAAGACTGAGAAAGAAACAAAAAGAGATATAGAAAAAAATTGAAAGAAAATGATTAAAAAGAAATATATAAAAAGGAAGATCAGAAGAAGGAAAAAATCGGAAACGACAAAAGTTTTAAAATAAATTTATAAAGGTAAAAATAAGGAAAATGGAAAAATAAGTGTAATATAAAAAATGAAAGAAGAGCAAAAGGAATATATGGGAAAGAAAATCTGGAAAGAAAAGTGAAAGTTAACAAAATTGATGATAAAATCAAGAAAAAAGAAAATACTGAATTATAAAAGAAGAAATAATAAAGGAAGAAATTTGGAACGATTAAAATAGAAAACGTAATAAAATTGAAAGCAAATCTTAACGAGAGAAGCTGAGAAATAAGGGAATTATTTCAGAACATTTAACGAGACAAAAGAATAAAAATTCGAAAAAAAGGATAGAAAATTAGGATCGTTTATGGAGAAACAAAAAGCCGATCAATTGAACGACATAGAACTGCTGATATGCAGAGGCAAGCAGTGAAGATGAGAAATTTACTGTTAGTTTGGTCGACTGCGTGAATATCAGTGTTACCGGTTAGGATTGTTGGCGTTGAAAGCGGAAGACCACGTGATGTGAACTGCGTACAGAAGAAAAGGAGAAGACAAGAGGTGTATTATGGGATTGCTGAATCAATACAAAGAAAAATATTCGAATTGGATTTGTTAATCCACTTTTCTTTGTCTAAGCTTCCTTTCATTCTTGGCATCGTATTTTTATTTTCTCCTTTATTGTCTCTTTCTCTCTCTCACTTTCTCTCTCTCTCTCTCTCTCTTCTCATATTTTTTACAGCTTTTCTATTTTTTCTAACATTAATTTAAACTCTTACTGTTGAATATTTATTTTCCCTACTTCATATATTTTCTCTTTTCATTTTCTTTTTTCTTGCATATAATATTTTTTCTTTTCCCATTCTTTTCTCTTTTTATATATTTCATTACATTCACTTTCCTTTTTATCATTCGTTCTTTCTTTCTTTCTTTCTTTCTTGCTTTCTTGCTTTCTAGCTCCATGTCTTCATTTTCTGTTTTCTCATCTGTTTTCCTTTCCAATTTTTCTTTCTTTTCCTGCCGAAAGAATGAAATTTCTCTCTTTTTGTCGTTCCATCCAGATTTTTCTTTTTTCTTTATATCTTTTCTCTTTCATTCGATTTTTCTGATCTTATTTGTTAATTCTCTCAAATTCTTTTTCTCTCTTTCAAACATTCTTCTTTCCAGTTCTTTTATTTTCAATTCTTTTTCACTTCACCTTAAACAATATCTGTTTCTTTATTCAGAGATCGTTTATGCTAGTGAATGTTTTTCCAATAAAAGTGGTATTAACCAACTGAGGTTGGTAAAGTTTTTTCAATATACTTATATGATAAATATACTACGTGATTTCCAGCTGATATAATCTGTTTGTAGTAAAAAGTATTTGCAATAACTTTTTTGGCAAAACGAGATTTTGTTATATATTTTGTTTTTAATATTAAAAATAAATACATATAATAATAGTATAGTCATTAATATTTAATTTCAATTTGGAATATATGTTTCCATCGACAGTAAAAAAAAAATAACAAAAATTAATAGAGAATTAAAGTTGTAAAGTTATGGAGTGATGTGAACACAACGTTAAGGATTGCAAAAGCGTTGAACATAGATCAGAGAATAATTACAAACTATTTTGAAAACATTGGCAATATAGAAAAATTAACTTTAAAAATGCCACAAAAGTGATTCGAAAAACTAGAAATTAAATAAACAAGAAAAGTACTTGTAGCAACAAGAAAATATTTGAAGAAATTGGTGTCAAGAAGAAAAGATGTAGAATCTTAAGTACATTGGCTAAAAAGATGAAAGTAACCAAATTCCTACATCCCAAAGAGAAATGTGTAAGGAGAAAATGTAGATGAAAACTGATCTCTCAAAATATATAATAATAATAATTATATATAAATTTCACCTCAATTTCTGTTCGTGTACCTTTTCCTTTCTTAGTTTCTCACTTTTCGCTTTCATATTCTCTTTTCTCTCTCCTGTCGTCCTAATTTTTCCATGTAATATTAGTATGAGGGTTTCTCTGCCAGAAAGCATAACTGCTTCCAGTGAATATGGGCCACAATTGGACGGATATTCTACTAATCTTTAGTAGAACAACAATAAAGTTGATTACTATACAAATCAATCATTATTATTATTTATGTTTTACGTGTGTTTCTTTCATTATTACAGATGATTTTTATCCCAACTACTCAGACCGTCATTCTATGTCATTAATAAAACAAATAGATCAGAAATAATAAACTTTCGTCGAGGCTCAAACTCACATCCTTTTTTCCATTAGGAAGTCTGGTTCAACGCGATATCTGGTCTAGTGTCTGGCCTATAAAAGACAATATGTTCAGAAGCTAAAATCTGACCAAATAATCATATTAAAAGTAAAATAAAATGCTTCTTAATGCTTTATCTAAAACTCAGTTCAAGATAAACAATGTTTACTTAAAAATACGGACGTTTATTAAGTTTATCCAAGTTCAGAAGGCCAAATGAAAAGATGAAATATCGCACCAATCTTCCAAGTGAAGAGAGTTCTAATATTAGACGTCATGATTTTTACCTCGGCCAATAACACCGACGTAATATGTGTAAATGTGTCCTCGGCAAAAACAAGCCAAGAACTTACATCCATATGTTTTACAGACACTTTAATCAGCTATATTGGAAAACAGCGAAAGGGTCGGATAGCAATGTTTTTATCCTATCATATTTAGCCTAAATCTAAATATGAATTGTAGGAAAATCTTGTGACAAGGTTATAAACTGCTGAAGTAGAAATCCGGATAAACATTGCTAGCGAATTTGAAGGGAAGTTGTAGATGTGCCATATGTCTGTGCGTTGTTGAAGCAACTAAAGTTTTTGTTGTTGGTCGGATCTGCTGTTTGATTAAAATGAACGAAAGAAATATATGACTGTTTTTCGAGACAGATTGTCTTAAAGTGTTTGTGACAGCTTCTCAACCTCAGAAATTCTAAAAAAAAAAAAAAAAAAGACAGGTAACTGACCAAATTTGAGACGAGGTTCAAAGCTTGACAGCAGAATTGTAATCTCGAAAAAACATTGTATTGTCATAGACATATGTGTTGATTTCGCTTTCTCCACCCCCCTCTCACTCACTCACTCACTCACTCACTCACTCACAAACTCACTCACTCACTCATGGTCCTATACTTGTAATCTACGTTTACTGCATTCGATACTCAAAAGGAATTTAGCAAACCTTTGGATTCTATATTAAATCAACTTTGGAATTAAGTTATATAAACTCTTGCCTAGCGACGAGCTCAACTAGCTTGCAAGCATAATATTCATTTGGTCAGATACTAACTTTAGCCACAATGCTACAACAATGTATAAAACAAATGAATTCTTTAACAATGTCTTTCGAAATGAGCTTACTATTTAACTAATAATTTTTTCTTTAACAACAATGAAGACTTTCGACGTCCAGGCAATTCAAATCTGGTTGTTAGATACAAATTCCAGTAATTCCTGCTGGAAAAAGTCATATCTGACCGGCTTCCATAAGTATAAGAAAAACAGTATATAAACGAAAAAGCTATACGATCGATGAATTTGCTTTGAGTGATGAGGAATTGTTAATAATTTAAACTTATTCGAACTATTGTTCTGATATAGATCTTGTTATAGAAATCTGGCCATTTTCAGATGTTCATTACTTTAGTTAATACGAATTATGTTCTATGTGTTGCTTCATTTATTTTTGTCCCTGTGATAACGTTCCTTGTTCGTTCCTGAGAAACTGAAGTTATTATTATTTCACTACATGATCCGGTGATTGAACCCACTGCGATTATTAGGGGTTATCACTAGATTACCGCAACGCTTAATTAACAAATGGCCATATCGATTCCGCCACCGCACTGAAGGATGCTTGGAAATTATTTTTTTTCTATAATTATCAAAGTGAGAACAAGAGTAAATTGACTAAGTAAAGCCATACTGGTTTTTAACCAAATAGCAACAACGAGTTTTCTTTTTAAGGATTCTGAAGCTTAATTTTGTAACTGACAAATAAAATAAACTATACAATTATATTTGACCATATACAGCATATATGAAAATATAAAACGCAAGTGATTTCAACAGAAAATAAACGATAGTTAAAACTACATTCTGGCCTGTAGGATTTAGCTCCTAAGATATTTTCCGTCAGCTAATAATGGTTCTTTTCCTTTCTCCTGTTTTTTTTTAATCCAATCTTTTATCAAATCTATGATTTTTCGAAAAACATTTATCGAAAATATTTATCCAATATTACATAATATTCTAATATTGACAATAGTAAGAAATTAGTTTTATTTTTTATTTAGTTTCAGTTCAATCAACTGGTACATAGATTCTAGACAATTCTTCGGTGAACTTATATATGAGCAATGTCTGATTTTCAAGCCAGCGTCACATATGGCAACGGTTGTTATTCTTATTTAATCTTAATCTAGAAAATGAAGAAACAAGGCTTCGCTTTTACAGAACGCTAAAGAGGTATAAGGAACACCATCAATCTTCCGTCTGCGGGTCTCATGGTACCTGTAAAGTTATTAATTCCAGGATTCCTAATTTCCGGCTATGAGGTACGCCTCATAGAAATTGTAATCATGTTTTACGCATAAACTGAAATTCTGAACACCACTGTTCAGGAATAATATTCTGGCGTTAGATATGTTGTCCAATTTTATGCATCGGTTAAAATGTTTTCTGGGTCTAATATAATATCTAGTATTGGTTTGTGGAAATCTTTCTAGACTGAAGTCAACGGCCAGATCGGACGATTCCCTCGATGGAATTAATTACTACGTGTCTGTAACCAAAGTGAAACATCAATTTGGAGGACATCGGTTGTGATTTAAAATGGCGAAGGATGGGCTGCGCCAGGTGTGCTATTCCCAATACATTCTACGCATGAATGAATATCCCCTGGATATGTGGAGGCAACTGGTCAGTTTTTCATCTGTACAACACTACAACCGCACTCGGTCTTGCGACTGGTTATGGTTGTAATGATGAATATATGGTTTTTTATCATTCATTCTATATTTTTCTTATAGAATACAGAATGTAGACAGTGGCGTAATATCCGAAACTAGAATTTCTCATTCAACCGAGGCTGTAGAAGTTGTCATGATATCAAATAACAAGCTATTTCTCTTCTTTCTTTTTTTTTCTTTTTTCAATCAGGATCGTGGTGATGCCATTTTTAGAGTTACTAGCTGATGTTGCTCATCACTTTGCATCTTCCTCAGTGGCATTCAAGATAGCAGTTTCTGTGGCCTGAAACTAAGTTTGTTATCTTCTTATGTTAGTAATTGAGTTTCTTTGTTTCGAGGAGGAGAAATGATTAGTGACCCAGGCATACAAAAATAGCGAAACGAAGCGTTTTGTCAGACATCTAACAATTAGTGGCAGGCCAGACTTTAACATTCATGAATTACATGGGAACAATTTCTCTATCCATTTCACTTTCTTTTGATACTGCTTTTCATTCGTTTTTATCTATCTCTACGTACTATTTTTAATAAGATTAAAATTACATATTATTTAACCATTTTGACATTTCTCAACACGTACTTTCTTTACAGTTTGCGTTTCTCTCTCTCTCTCTATCGTTATATATATATATGTGTGTGTGTGTGTGTGTGTGTGTGTGTAAATGTCTCCGCATGCGTACGTAATACATTTCCCGCTATATAACAATTGCCCTTATTGTCATGTGTCATAAATTCTGTCTCTTTCCGTTTGTTTCTTCTCGTTCTTTGTTTGTTTGTTTTGTTTTTCATCTCCTTCACATTGTCCTTCTAGCGATTTTCCCTTCCTCTCTTAAACTTCTTCGCCATCACGCCAAATAATTTTATTCTATTTTCTCTTCATAACTTCATATTTCAAGGATAAATTAATGTGTTCTTCCATATACCGGGTACCTTCAGGACGTTGGCGATAATGAATCTCCAAAATTACCTGTCCTTTGTAGTTCGTAATAAATTTTGGATTTTTATTAGCTATCCCAAAACTTGCCCCGCCATCCACTTAATCAAGCTCACTATGTAGGTTATGCGTTGCTTTACTTTGTCCCTCTTGCCTTCAATCTGTCATGTAAGTCTTCAATTTCCCAAGCCCTCTTTCCTCATTATGTGCCCTAGAAATTTCAACTGTCTCTTTCTGAAAATAAGTATCTTTTCTTCTTATATACCTTGTCCCTTCAGGACGTAGGTGATCATGGCTCTCCACTTCCCTTATCCCATGTAGTTTTGTCCCTTTGCTACTTCCCCAGGTCATGTTCTGTCATCTATTTGCTTAAGCTCTCTAGGTATGTCATGCGTTGCTTTCCCTTGTCTCACTTTCCCGACCTGTGAGTATCATATTCTCAAAGCCCTCCATTCTCATTACGTGTCCCAGAACATTCAGATGTCTATTCCCGATGTTGTTTGCATCCTCTCCAAAACTCATCGTTACTTACACGCTCGGTCCATGATATCCTTAGCATCCTTCTGTAGAACCATACCTCCATTGCCTCGAGTCTCTTCTTTATCTTTGAGGAGATCGTCCAACATTTGATGCTGTAAAGGAGAACAGATATTATGTAGCAGTAAAGTACTCTTTTCTTTCTTACCAACGAACTCTCTTGTTTTGTAATACTCTGCCTAGCTTTTGAAATGCGTCATTGGCCATCCCAATACGTCTTCGGATCTCAACATCAGACTTACCTTCCTCTGTCAAAACACTTACCAGATACTTGCTTGATTTTAGTGTCTCCGGGCTCATTTTTTTTACTGATGACCATGCAATTCTGTCTTCTTGAAGTTTATGTTTAGTTCCTTCTTCTTGCTCTCCTTCGCTACCTTCTGTAGGATGTTTTGTAATTTCTTTTCCGTGTCTGCTATCAGCACTGTGTCATCCGCGTATCTTATGTTGTTAAGATTGTGGCCGCCAATGATGAAATTTCCTCGCTGAATAGTTGGAATAAGTCCGGTGAGAAGACACATCCTTGCCTTACGCCCCTTTCTGTTTTTGTATATCTGCTGAACTCATTCTCAATCCGCATGCAGGCCGTTTGCTGCCAGTATAGGTTATTATTCTAATACCTTTCCCAAATATATCAAGGTTGCTGATCAGTTCCAACAGATCTTTGTGACATACTTTGTCGAACGCCTTTACGTAGTATATAAAACATAAGTACACGTCCTTCTGCATTTGTATTGCTTTTTCTGATCACATTCTGAGCGTGAATATCGCGTAACTTATTCCTGTGTCTTTAATGAACCCGTACTGTTCTTGTTCTATCTTTGACCTGATTCTGCTGTGTTCATCAGAATATGGATGGTGAGTTTTGTCATGTGGCTCATTAGGCTGATTGTTAGGTGGAGTTCACATTCGTTTGCGCCTGGTTTCTTAGGCATTGCTATGAAGGTAAATCTGCTGATATCTTCCGGCATATCCCCACTGTTGTTGATTTCATTTGTCTATACCAAAATCATCTAAGGCTGTCGGTATTTTCGTTACAATTACGTCTGGCCCTGCCGCCTTGTTTCTGTTGAATTTAGCCAGTGCAGCTTCTACTTCGGTTTTTAGAATTTAAGGTGCGTCGGTAGTTCTTTGGTCGTGGAAGAGTTCTCCAATATACTCACTCCAGCATTGAAAAATTTTTTCCTTCTCTAATTAGCGTTCCATCATTTTATGCAGCCTATTGACGAGCATGTCTTCTGTCCCGTTAGTTGCCTTATTTGCTTACGCATATCTCCTTTGTTGGCGGTACTCAATTTCTCTATTTCTGCACAGTTTTGTTTAGCTATTCTTCTTTAGCTTGCCTACATTTGTTCTTATTTCATTGTAAATTTCTGTATTCCGTTCTGTATCTTGGCAGAGTTTTCTGTCTACTTCATGTCGAGAATCTCATCAGTCATCCATTCGTTTTTTCTTCTTCTTTGTGATGATATCGTTTGCTGATGTCACTAAAGCGTCTCTTAGTGCGTCTCATTTCTAGTTTCCATTGTCTCCCTCCTATCTTCTCTTCATGTTGTTCATATATTTTTCTTTCAGACACCTTTCTTGATACCTGTCTGTTCCTTTCCGAGGGATAGGTTCCGAGGAATTTGTGCCCTTTTTTTCTTTCTATTTTCTGTAATACTTTGTCATGGATCACATGTTCAGTCCATGGTATTCTCAGCACCTTTTTGTAGAATCCAGTTTCTATTGCTTTTAGTCCCGTCTTCATCTCTGAAGAGATTGCCCAGTATTCACTGCCTATAGGGGGACTGATATTACATAACACTTCAGTACTCTTTTCTTTGTAACGAAATTCTATTGCTTAATACTTTGCTTAACGCTTAGAGTGCATTTTTCGCTATCCTAATGCATCTTCGCACTTTCCATACTCCGATAAAACACTTCCCAGATATTTAAATTGTTGTACTTGTTTAATTTTGGTATCTCCAATTTGTAATTTGCAAGTTGAACAGTTCCTTTTCTAACAACCATATATTCCGATTTCTTGCTATTGAAGTTTAATCCTTTCTTCGCATTTTCATTCGCTAGGAGTCCTTGTAGTTTCCTTTTTGGGTCTGCTATCAACACTGTGCCATCTGCATATCTTTTGTTAAGAGTGTGGTCACCAATATTGAATCCTATTAAACCTTCTAATACTCTCAGAATCACTTCATTGTTTTCAGTTGAATAAGTCCGGTGTAAACACATCTCCTTATTTTACAGCCCTTTTTATTTTCGTATATTTACAGCCCTTTTTATTTTCGTATATTTACTGAACTCATTGCCCTATCCGCATGCAGGAGGTTTATTGCATTGTATATGTTCTGGATTATTCTATTATCTTTCCCATATATGTCAAAGTTATCTAGCATTCCCAGCAGTTATTTGTGACATTCTTTATAAATGCTTTTGCATAATCTATACAACATAGTAATGCACCATTTTAAATTTGTATTGCTCTTTCTGATATCATTCTGAGATAAATATCGCATTCTTTACCACAGCCTCTTTAACGAACCCGCACTGTTACCGGTCTGATTTTTCTGTGTGCTATATTCATCAAAATTTGGATGCTAAGTTTTGTTACATGGCTGTTTAGGTTGATTGTCCGATGGAGTTTACATTCATTTGCACCTGGCTTCTTAGGCAGTGCTATGAATATGGATCTACTTAGGTCTACCGGTATATCCCCACTGTTGTATATTTCATTTATCATGTATGTAATTTTGTCAATACCGAAATTGTCGAAGGCTGCTAGCATCTCTATTACGATTCCGTTTGTTCTTGCAGCTTTGTTTCTGTTCAATTTGGCCATTGCTGTATCTATTTCAGATTTCAATATTTTGGGCCTTTCGTTATTCTGTGTATTGTCGGTTGTTCTCTTTCGCCCTGGAAGAATTATTCGATGTATTCATTCAATCTATGAAGTATTTCTTCTTTTTTTAATCTCAGTGTCGTCTTTGGATTTTAGGCATTCTTTTCATGAACATGTCTTTTGTCTAGTTAGCTCTTTTAGTTTTTTTTTTTTTATGTATACCGGCTTTAACGGTGATATTCATTATTTGCATTTCTCCACCTTTTCGCTCGGCCATTCCTCTTTAACCTACCTGCATTTCTTCCTAATTTCTTTCTGCAGTCCTTTATTTTGTATCGTAATTTGGCATTGTTTTTGTCACCTTTTCATCATATCCATTCTTTTTTGCCTATTTTTCTTTGGGATGATCTTCATTGGAACATATCTGATGTCACTAATTTCTTTCTTAATGTGTTCCACTTCGAGTTTTATATCTCATTTAGTCCATTGTATATGCTTTTAACACTGTCCATATAATTGTCCTACACATTCGTGTCATTCCCTGAATGACCCGAATCTGCTGTATTGCAATTTGGGTCCTGCCTCATTCATCTTCAATTTCCGTAGATTTATGCTAAGTTTAAATATTACTGAAAGGTTGTTGCTCCCGAAGTCAGCACTTAGATATGTTTTGCAGCGCAAAAACATACTATATAGTTATTGCTAGTTTCACGCATCAAAAGCGAAATTTATGCTGCATCGGTCTGAGATCGCTTGACAGTCACCATGCAGAGTTATTTGATATGTTCACTGTCAGTCTGGTTTCTCTCCCTCTTCTCTCTCTGTCTCTCTCACTCTCTCTCTCTCTCTCTTACTCTCTGCTGTTACAGTTTAAACATGGCCACTCCCCTAACAGTCTGCACAAGTACAAAGGTGGAACAAGAACGCGTGATCCTAATCTAAAGTTATCTTTCCTAACCAATCGATGATAACTAGCCGCTCTCGGGCTTGCTGAATCAGTAGCGGAGGTTGGCGAATGCTTGTCCGTCCACTTCTAAACTTCTCGATCCACACATACACACTTCTATGCGGTAGACATTGACTTATTGTGTTAAAAGCCTCAGATGAATTTCAGTCCTTGACACACAATCCGTCCAGAGAAATCGGATCACTGCCCTTTGTTCTCAAAGTGCGCTGGCACAGGTATTTATGGGACTCAGCCTGCCAGATGTCACCAATAATGAATTAGTAAGATTTGGTTATTAATCTGCACTCTCTAAATATCTTCTTTGTTTCGGATAGCACATGACCATTTTCCCATTTGACAAAATTCTGATAACACACCTTCTGAAAATTATCCTTCCAATGAAACCACCGACGAATCTTTATGTAAACAAATAAAATCACATACTTTTTAATCAGCTTGACCGAGTGTTGGTAAAGCCTATTGTTTGAAATTTTCGCCTGACAAAATAAATTCGATGGATAAGTCTTTATAAAAACAACTTCAAGGGTTATGAGATATAATTTTTACTTCCACCGAGAAATGTATTACTTGTCCTCAATTTCACCGAGCTTACTGGGTGTAGGAGGCTACATTACATAGCAGTAATTAGTTATACTAAGTTACTCAATTTTTACTAAATTCAATCAAAACGTTTCTTACGTTTTATTCAGTTCGATAACATAAATCTGGCCTTTCTACATTTAATTCTGATCTTCAGCTCCGTATACTTCTATTCACCAAAGTGCTTGTCACAAAGCTTCAAAATTTAATTTTTATCCATAAAATTAGTCTACATGTCTATAAAATTAGTCTACATGAAATATTGATATAATTTAATTCTTTGTTATTTTTAGGAGGTTCCAACTTTTCATAAAGGAGAGACTAAATTTTATCGATTGAACCAATAATGTAGTATTTTTTTCGTCTGGTAGTGCAAATATAATAAGAAAAATTACTGCTTTAAAAATTCCAGCTTTAAAATAAATATACATTTATTTCATGTTATTTACCATTTATTTTGTCTGAATGTACATTATTTCTTAGTAGTTTTACATATGAATAATATATATATATATATATATATATATATATATATATATATATATATATATATATATATATATATTTTATTTTTCAGTTTTCCTCTACTTTCGTGTCGCCATTCCTTTCGTATTTATTACTGAACTTTCGTGTTGACATGTTGATCAACTCTTCTTTTATGGTTAGTTTTACATGGTCGCTGCGCATGCGCTGTGACACTTCATTTCATTCTGTCGATTCTTGTCAATAACTTTCCTTAGTGATGCACGACAGCTGACAGTAAAAGATATACACGGGGCATGAGATAGTCCTTACAATTCATTCTTGTCAATATTTATTCATTTGAAGACCTTTTTCAATGTACTGTCATTCGCACGATTTTGGATTTCAGTAGTTTTTGAAACCACATAAGAGCATATGCAGAAATGGCACCGGAACTCTAGTTTCTATAATTATAGAATCCAAAATATATAACATGTGTAATATCAAAAAGCATGTATTTCCAGTCCTTACTTCTAAACTGAATGCTAATATGCAGCAAATCTAACACAACAATTACACGTTGAGTTTCACCGATCTCCCTCAATAATGTGGGTAATTAAGAATTAATGGTGGGAATAATCTGTTATCACTTAATTGCTTTAAAGCCAGATTTACAGACAAATATGTCATAAATTCAATCGTTGCCTAACCAGTATTTGATATTATTCGCTTTAACAAAATAAGTAATAATCTATAGAAATACGTAGTTTCACTGCCGTAATGCACACGCACTCATGTACGTGTATATATATATATATATATATATAGATATATATAGATATATATATATAGATATATAGATATATATAGATATATATAACGATGTGCGGCGTCGGCTAAGATAAGCTTTCCTTTTGTCTCTTTATTTTTAACTGTATCTTGGATTGTACATTTAGCAGCGTCTACCGTTAACTCAAAAATTTAGGATCTGCGGACATATGTTTATATGGACTTTTGGCCAAGTTTTGGTGTTGGAAACCGCCCCCAAAGTTTTGGTGTTAGGAAACCCGCCTCTCTTTCTGTTTATATATATATATATATATATATATATATATATATATATATAAACAGAAAGAGAGAGAGAGAATTAATACAAATATAAAATTTGTTACTTAGTTATACTCAGCACCTCTACTTCTTTTGTAGACAAAACTTTGTATAATTGCTCGGCCCCACTCGTCAGCAGATATCAGTAAATGTTTACATATATATAGTCTCTCTCCCTCTCTCTCTCTCTCTCTCTCTCTCTCTCTCTCTATATATATATATATATATATATATATATATATATATATATATATATATGCTGATATCTCCTGACGAGTCGACCGAGAAATTACACAAAGATTTGTCTCCAAAAAAAAACGGAGTAGAGGTGCTGAATGACAAATAAAAATAATTAAGAAAATCCTTGATTATGGTTATTACACTACCCCAATTGACCCGAATAAAAAAAAATCAAATTAATTATCTATTATAAAAAAATTAAGACTGCTAACCTTATCCTCGAAAATAACAACGCACCAACTAAGTCAAAATTACAAAGAACGAATATTATCTATGAGTTCAAATGCCCCTTAAGGAACTGTGTTCCTGATCAAACCGGACTCATAAATAATTACATCGGTTACACCACTACGTCCAGACACCTCACGTTACACATATCTGATGACAGCTCGATTAGAATCCATTTAAACACACACACAAATTTACCAGACTCCATTAGAAACATACTAGTAGAAAACACAAACATAATAACTGCATCCACCTATGAAAAAAAGATTAAAATAATGGAAGCTTTAATAATAAAAAAGAAAAAGCCAACCCTTAACAATATTAACTACGAACAAAGCCACAATGTGCTAACCGTATTCGGAAATTAAAAACATCCCTACAACACACTGAAACATACACATAATGCACACACTCAATTAAGCTGAAAAATCGAATCATCCTTGATAATGGTATAGCCGAAAGCGCTCGGAACTATAAAACATTTGGACAGTTTTTACACACTCTTTGTCCAGAAAAGAAATCTCTTGTTCGAATACAAGAAAAATTAAATAAAAAGCTTAACCGTAGTACCTTGTCTCTCGTTTTTAATGAAACATGAATAACCGAAAGATTGCTGCCTAAATATACAATATATATATATGTGTGTGTGTGTATGTGTGTGTGAAGATAGCTATATCTAGAGATCAAGATCGAATTCTGAATTTATAAATAAATACTGAAAGTTTATCAGCTGATAGATAGATAGATAATGGCACATTGTGTTAGTGTTTATTTCACTCATACCTAAGAAGCTGTTTTTGCATTTCTACAGCATTAAGTGAGAATCAACTTCACTTACAATTCTTTTCAAGATTAACACACTAATTTATTTCTAATCAGTTCGCCCCAAGCAAGACAATAAAGCCATCTTAGACGTAAAGTATTTCTGACTCAATATTAATTAGAGAGAACAAAAAAGGACACGAATTAAGAAAACAAAATAACGATTGACATTGCATTGAAATTTTTGAAGATCAAAGTCGACTGGTAAGCAAGAAGCTGCAACAGATTACTATGGTCCAGAAATGAGATAGAAGAAGCATAGAACTTACGGTTATATCTAATTATTTAACGGTAAAATGATGCGACCTTGTCACTAATCTAGTACTGCGCTCAAATTCATAAAGTCTTGGTACCATAGAGGAAAGTTCATCAGAACAATTACCATGAAAGTCTACCAGTTCAGAAACAGTAATATTGCAGATTCTTCTTTGGATTTTATCAAGAATCTTTAAATAGCAGATGTGAAAGCAATATTCAAAGCAAGGACTAAATGCACTTATAAATATGTAAGAAATTGTACGACACAAGCAACCAATTTTCTTAACAGCAGATAAATCAATTGATTAGATATAAAATCCTTCCACTTCATATCAACAGAAAACATTAGTTTGAGAAGGCGTAAAGAGTTACTCTCCTGGAAGTTAACAGCAATCAAGCAGATGGAAAATAAAATGGCTTCTCTCTCAGACGATTAAAAGAGGGCAATTTTGTTAAAAGCAGATGGGTTAAAATTAACACGCCATTTCTTGACCCAGTTAACAAAAAATGTAGATCATTTTTTCAATCATCTACCAATTTGACTTTATCGAACAAAAAGACTTACTATTAAGACAGGAATAAATTGTTGTATCATCAGCATAGATACCAAGTTGAGAAATGATACCATCAGGAAATTCGTTGATGAAAATGAGGAACAACCTATGTCCAAACGACGCCTGCATTAATGCAAAAGATCTTAAATAATGGCCGTTCAAGACAACTTTCGTGATTTGAGAAGAAAGATTGAATCAGTTTAGAAATTCGTTCAAAAATACCATAACCTTTCAACTTGTGAAGAAAACTAATATGCCAAACAATGTCAAAAGCTTTCGAGATATCGAAAACAAAAGCCCGGGATTAACCATTCTTATCTAAAGCTTGATAGACTTTCAACAATAACCGTTAACGCATCAACAGTTGACCCAGAGAAAGAAAAACCAGCGAAGTGAGATCCTTAACCAATTAAGATTTGATTAGAGCCCCTAATACTTTGCTACAAAGCGGCAGAAGACCAATAGTTAGAAGGATCAGATGGTTCACCTGAGTTCTTAAAAACTGGAACTGCAGAAGATGATTTTCAACAATCAGGAAAGCAAGGAGTAGCAAGGCACTTGTACAGGAGCCAGTTCTGGGTCACATTTCTTAAGAACTATTGAAGGGATACAATCAAGTCTAGTTGGGATCTAGTATATACATAGTAGCACAAACCATGGACGGAGTTTGAGTCAGAGATAATTTTGATGAAGTCAATTAACTAGTATTTAGATATTAACCGATTCTTCTGTGTCCATATATATAAGGCAGAGTCACAGTTAACAATGGCTGTTATTCTTATTTAACCGCGATCTTAGAAAATTAATTATAGAGGCACTTGCGCGAAGTCAAAGCTTGACTCTTTCCTGAAGTCGTTGCAGAAAAGCGTACTTCTCCCACAGAAAGTTTAAAGGTCACTTGAGAATCTACAAATGATTCGGTTAAACCTTCTCAAATCTTAAGTCATTATGACAATTTAACTTGAAAAAGCTATATAGCTCATAACTAATGTAACTGTCTTATGAATTACTAAAAAGAAAGGTAGAACCGAGAATTTCAAAAACGACATTCAAGAATAAAATACTTAAACAATACGAAAAACTTCAAATTATTCGTTACTATATTATCAGGTGATTCTAAAAGTGGGATACAATGGAAACTCAACAATCTCAAAGAATATCGTAAAACATTTACATTTTATTCGTTGAAATAAAAATAAGTTGTAAAATGACTTATCAAGAAATATATTATGACAATTAGCAAAGTTTTTTTTTATTTCAGAGAAATTTTCAGAATGCATTAAATGTCTGTCAGCTTCGCTTTTGCAGAATGCAAAAGAGGTATAATGAACATCATCAATCTTCCCTCTGAGGTCTCATGGTACCTGTAAAGTTTTTAATTCCGAGAATTTTAATCTCCGGCAAGCAGATGCTGAACCCCAGAGTTAAAAAATAGTAAGAGTTCACTTACCATCCTTTTTAAGACCAACACGCTAGTTATTGCAGTTAATAATTAGAAATAATTTTGAAGAAGTCAACATTGGAATGTGTCTTCATTTGAAATGATTTTATTGACAAGGGTTTAATAGAAGTATACAGAATGTGTCAGGTATTTAAGAACAAATTAAAACATGAAGAAAAAACAAAGTACGAAAGAGAAAATCAGTATATTTTCAAAAAGAAATTCTATAAATGTTCAGTTTAGAGAAGAATATAAAGATTATTCAATAAATTTGACTCCAGCCTCTAAGACAGCCTGCTGATCATCGCTGGCGATTAAGTGACAACAAATCTCTTCAAGATCACGACTTTCCCTAATATTCTCACCGATTTCACTCGTGTACTATAATCTCTATTCTTTCAGTTCTTTCCCAGATCAGTAATTCTTTCACTGTTTTTGGAAGTCTTTTGTACAGTTTAAAGAGTTCCAATTATTAGGAACTTCACCTCCTAATACCACATTATTTACTCATATCTATCAAGGTCCTGATTATCTGCTCTGCTTATTATCATCAGGAACTTTTACCCACTTTGCGTTCTTGGACGAATTTCTGTTTCCCCATTCTCTTTTAGATTTAGTCTTCTGTATTTTTGGCTTCTTTAATTGTATTTATTTATTTTATATTTATTTTATATTTAAACAACAACAACAGCAATAATAATAATAGAGGTTTAAATTCTGTAATAGAAGTCCTTAGTTCTGCACCAAGAAAATGGGAATAAAGCCTAGTATCCCATTATTTTATAAGCATGCTTGGTACAGCAAATATTCTTCAAAAATTGCTCTCTGTCTGAGATTGTAAGACTTCATGGAGAATGTCCAAAATGTAGGATGTCTGCTTAAAAAAGAAAATCGTACGAAAGATCTTAGCTTGAATTCTGTCATAATTAAAATTGTTCAAATATTTCGAGAATTTGCTGTTCACATTTGAAGTCAAGTTGATAGAGTTTGAATAACAGAAATTCGCTTAAAATCTCCAATGCCTTTCTCAGTATCTTCGGAATTTTCTCAAAACTTTCTATTCATTATATTAAAAGTAAAGAAGGCTAGGCTTGCTGGGTAGATTAAGTCAGGGTTTGAACCCATATAAAATCTAAAATTATGCAAGCTACTTTTCAGGATAGACAAACATTTCTCCACTAGAAAAATTCGGGCAAAAATGTGTTTCGGTAATTATTTATTTCTATTTGGATTACAAGCTAGACTGTAAGCTAGACTGTGTATATATCAATGTGAACGCGTGGTTTAAATCCCTCAGTGAGATATAGACTCGAAGTATCGAAACTTAAAATCAAGTTGTAAATGCATTCTGAATACGGAAGTGTGTTGCCAAAGTAAGAACTATAATTTACTGTCCCTTGGTTCTACCCTGCTTCTTTTATTTGTGGACGTCGGTGTGTGTCTGCGTATGTCTTTCCGTTTGAGTAAATCCATTTGAATAAAATGCCTCCAAGACTTTATCAAAATGGTATCGGAATGCTCTGCGTCTGAATTAGAGTGACAATGAAAGAACACCAAAACTGGCACCATCAGGATCAAGCAAGTGAAAAGAGGTTATGTCGGCCGGATTTCTGATAAGTAGAATGCAAAGTTGCCATAGACACGGAGTGAATACATTTCCTTTATGAACAAACAGTAAGGAGATAGGTGAACTGGAAATTCGCTGAAATCAGTTGGGTGTGGAATATGCAAAACTCAATCAAAACCTGTTCGGGTGAGAAAATCTGAACTCACAGAAATTTTGGTTTTAGCTTCTTTTTTTTCCCTCTTTTTTCTATTTCTTTCATTCTTTTCATTTTCTTCTTTGGTTAGTGATTCCTTTCTTTATTACCGTTATCTCATTCAATGTCACATTCTAATTGATTTTTTTTTCCTGCATTTAGACTCTTTCTTTTTCTTTTTCTTTCTTATTCGATATAATCCTGTTTATTGATTCTCTCTTTATTACTTCATTCTCTCCATTTTTCTTTTACCGAATTTTTGCTCTGTTTCTTTAATATTTCTTTTCCCATTTCTTTATTTTTTCTAAGACCTTACAAACACACACACACACATATATATATATATATATATATATATATATATATATATATATATTCAGTTGTATGGATGAGGTTTGTGACCCTGGGTTTCACGCTTTTGTGATCATTTGTCTGATGATCGCAAAAGCGTGAAACCAAGTCCTAAACTCATATCCATACAACTAAATATACACACACACATCCTATATATATATATATATATATATATATATATATATATATATATATATATGCAGAGAGAGAGAAATTATATATATATATATTTTTTCTCGCCCTTATTTTCTCTTCCTTCTCCCTAACCCTAACCCTCATATCTAGACTTACACTACTTCCTTGTTTTTATCTGCTCTCTTTTTCTTTTTTTCTTTTATTCATTTTTCTTTTCTTGTTCTGGCATGTTTGTTTTGTTTTGTTTTTTCAATAATTTATCATCCATTGATTGGTTTGAAAAATCCTTGTAAATCTTATTTTAATTTACAAGGTGAAAATGATCATTAACCTAATGTAATCTTAATTTCTATTGTATAAAATATGTTGTTCTGTTTAATTAAAACACTGATCTCTATGTGTGAATCAGTTTTAGTATTTAATATTTTATATTGTATTAATAGGATTCACTTGGATTATATATCAACGAATGGACATAATTGCATATGTTCGTAATAATTTTTAAATAGTGTTTGAAAAGAATGCTGACAGCTTAATGCTAACATTCTGATTCTATTTGCTGCCAAAAATGAAGAAAATACTAATATTTTCTTTGATATAGAAAATAAAATTAAATTTTATTAAAATACCTTATTATTTCATGATTAATTCTTTTTAATCTCTTTAATTTATCCCAATTCATTCTTTTCTCAATTTTCATTCACATTTTCTCTGATTCCATTTTCCGTGCGGGTACCTCGCCTGGTATTTCTAGAAATAAATAAATTTTATATAGGCAGCTAAAATTAGGACAATTTCGTTTACTTTTTCTATATATTTTTACTTTTTGATTTGATTTTATTCAATATCGTATAAGGTATATCTTATTTTGCAGTTTGGTCTTTAATGGAATTTTTACACGTAAATATGCAGAATTCTATTTATGAAATAAAATATTTTTATCTTTGTAGGCTTGGCACAACACAGCCGCCCTACTCTTCCTATTTTCTAGGCGAGGTTAAACGTCTGTGGTTCTAATGGGAAAGATCAGTCAAGACATTGGTGTCTGTGTAAGTTTCTTCTTGTTTGTTGACTAAAATATTAGATGGTTGTGTCAATGTAATATATAATATATATTTTGCCGGTATGTACATATATATATATATATCAAACAAAACCCAAATTGTGCCTTTTGAACACACACTTCAACACTGCTGATTCTCGAAACATCCATATCTGTTCTATATGGTATCCTAACGTAAAGACAATTTATTTTTAAGAAATGGATTAAATCCGACATATTGATATTTTTAACTGATTTTGTTTAAACGATATGTTTTTTTTTTATGGATACTCATATTAATTCTAGTAGAAGCTCTGTTTTAAACAGTATTTTTCATCCAACTAAATCTACCTGCCTGAATATTTGAGAAATCTTGTCAGAAAAATATGCGTCTTCCGGCAGGATTCCTTGGGTCCGACGTGCCTGACCGCTTGACCACGTAGGACTTCTGGTCAAAGCCCAAATAGTGCTTTCTGAACACACACTCCCTGCCGATTCTTGAAATATTCATATCTGCTTTGTATCGTATTCTAACGTAAACAAAGACAATTTATTTTTTAATAAATGGATTTCTCGAATCAAAAATAATGTTTAATCCATTTTCGTCAAATACAGCTGCAATTTCTCTTACACAATTTTTGTTAATGTACTTGGAGCAATTTAGATATTTTTATGTTGGCCCAGGATATGAGAGGCGGATGGTATTGGGATGACATTAGAGACTGAACATTCCCACCAATAGCGCATTTTTTTTAGTTGTGGTTTTTTGCGAAAGCCAAAATTTGGATGTGATCACAGTAATATATTTCAACGTGGTGGTGGCCGTGATATATGACGTAAACAACGTTCTGATTGACCTTCCACAATTGTTAAATCCATGAAATATAAGGCTCTAGACAGCGGCGTTGACAATGTGGAAAAATTAGCGTTATGTAGCTGAAAATTGTACTTCCTGTATTAACTGGATTTTCTGCAAAAATCAATAGGAGACATTGCAGAAATCAACGGGAGACATTAAAGAAATCGAAGTCTGTTTCAAATATTCTGTAGTCTTGTGAGCAGCGTGTGAGGGAGCATTATCTTGCATAAAAACAATGGCCCTTCTGAAGGCAACTCTTTGCCTTTTCATCCACGGTTCAAGATGCTTCTTCATAAACGCTATGTAAGCATCAGCAGTCATTTTGACGCCATCTGGTACTCTCCATGGGCCCACTAATGTGTTTCCAATAATACCACCCCAGATCATTATGCCTCCACCGCCTTGTTGGCGTCTCAAACACTGATGGCGATTCTGTCCGTTCATTACCCAGCCTTTGCACCATCTATCTGGCCCATCAAGTGTTGCTCGAGTTTCGTCTGTGAACAAAACTTTAGAGAAGTCAATCTTCATATTGTTCTCGGCCCATTTCAATGCATTTTGAATGTGATTTCTCGTCAAAGGGGACTTCGATACAGGTTTTGAACAAAATTATTTCCCTCAGATACCGACACTGAGTACTTTTTAGACACGATAGGATCCCCAGTACGACTGAAAAGCTCTTGACTGGTAAGTCCAGGGTTCTTCGTGGCCTCTCGTGACATGAGACGACGTGAAATAACTCTCGGCTTGCCTTTATATGCCCTTTTGCGTACTTGTGTAGGGTCGGCGTGAATTTTTCACTTTTTGGTGACACTTCCCTATCATTTTAAAAATTTCTAGGGTAGATTTATCTTTTGAGAGTTCTGAGGGGATAGTTTTCTTTTCAGCATCGACTTAAACTGCTTTTCCGGCCCATCTTTTCACTAAATTCTTACACTTTTCTAATAATTTGGCACGCTCGAATCACCGGGCTGATAACAAATATGGCGTCAGTTTGTTTACGTTGCTCGATCAGTACAAAATTTCAGTGATTGCGCAGCTCAGTGTTGCCAACATTGTGTGAATTGATTGGACGGTTTTAAAATATTAGAAAAAAGTTATCTCGATAATAATTTGGCGCAGTGTATATATATATATATATATATATATATATATATATATATATATATATATATATATATATATATATATATATATATATATATAAAGAAAGAACAACAAGATATATAATCCGGTGTTCTTATAGATATTTTTATTTTTACAAAATAGTGCTCAATGTAAATTTACAGAGCATTAATATTTCAAAATTCTTGAGGATGAAATGGAACTAATGTCTTTAATTTAATCACAAAATTAAATTCGTGACCCTTAAGCTTCCATTTTTTGAAACATGGTTAGAACTGTGTCGAAAAAAAACCATATTTTAAATCAATTAATTTATAATATTATATATATATATATATATATATATATATATATATATATATATATATATATCAGTATATGCCCAGTATATATATATACTGATATATATATATATATATATATATATATATATATATATATTGACCATTGATAGAAGACAAAGCCCTAAAGTCTTTCACCTATCTTGGTAGCAAAATCAACTACAGTGGAACATTAGATGACGAAATCAAACATCAGATTTCTAAGGCTACCAGTGCTTTCGGTTAACTTGTGGAATGAGCTGGGTATTCGACTGGAAACGAAAATTCGAGCTTACAGAGCTGTTGTACTTGCCATTCTTTTGTGCGAATCAGAATCGTGGACTCCATACATACACCAGCTGGATGTTTTCTCATTTACGGTGGACTGGTCATATTTTGAGAATGTCTGATGACAGGATACCCAAGATCCTAATGTACAGACAGTTTGATCAGGGCTACAGGAATGTAGGACGCCCATGGCTTAGATACAAAGACAAGCTGAAAAGCAACTTGTCAGCTGTCAATAATACACATAACACCCTTGAGCGCTTAAGCCTTAAAGCAGGTAGAATGAAGATCAACATTTTAGTGGATTCAGCAGTTTTCAATCTGCTTGTATGAATCATCTTCAAGAAGCGAGAGCAAGATATAAAGGTCACACAATCTAACAGTGATCTCATCCCACAATCCCCACTATTGCTCTATATGTGGCCTCCTTTGTAAATCACTAGCGGGTCTTAAGTGCCACTTAAGATTATCGGACAAAATTTCATAACGGAATCAATTAAGCTGTCAGATCAACATACGTCGAAACAAAGGGAGAGTCCATTATTATTATTAATATTATTATTATTATATATATAAATATATATATATATATATATATATATATATATATAAAGGAAAAAAAAAGACAGTAGGAAAACTATGTATTTTTTAGCCGACGCGTTTAGTCAATGTTATTTATTTTCAAGTCAAAGCTAAACCTAAACCTATTTGATTAATCTTTTTCTACAGATTTATCCTGAAATTTTTAACACACACATACAACACACACACACAAATATATATATATATATATATATATATATATATATATATATATATATATAAGCACCATATTTTAATTCAAGCATGTCTCTTTCAAATAATTTTATTTCCACAAGTGCTTTAATCTCATCTGATACCATCTTCAGGGCTTTGCATATCTACCGATGTGTTGTTATGCGTTAACACCGTAATTTCTCATTTTTAGTCAAAATCATAGACTAAACTTATATATATATATATATATATATATATATATATATATATATATATATATATATATATATAATGAATACGTAAATTATAAAAAATATGATCATTCAATATTTGAAAACACAAAGAAAAAATTCAAAGTTTTCGTTTGACACAATACACATCGAAAGTACTCTTCCTA